TCTTTCTTTTTTTTGCATACTGCTTAAGGATAACACAGCAATTTTTAATGAGGTCAATATCTTTAAATGTTGCTTATTTCATCAGAAAATACTGTACCTTCAAGGATAAAGTATATTAAGCATTTTCTCAAAGGGTTCTGTTACATTAAAAGAGTAGTTTACAGATAAATTGCTTAATCAAAGTTAATAAAAATGCTGAGATGATTCAGTTGGGAAGAGATGTTTGAAAGACTTTCATTTAATTGTTCTTGTAACGATGCATATGTCTGTAGTAGTCAGATGATTATCCAACACACAGTTGGATAAATACATCATGTGACAGGTGAGCAACTGGCTCATGGGTTAGATGCAAAGGGTTATAGGGAATGGGATGACATCAGACTGGTGACCTGTCACTAATGGGGTTCCACAGGGTTCCATCTTAGGCCCAGTACTCTTCAACATCTTCATAAACAATGTAGGACTGGAAAGTATACTAAATGAACTTGCCAATGATGCTAAATTGGGAGGAGCTATTCACTCCCTTGAAGACAGAGAAGCCCTGCAGACACTGCAATAAATTAGAGGACAGGGCAATCACCAGCCATATGAAGTTCAGCAAGGACAGGTGCCAGATCCTGCACCTGGGATGGTGCAACCCTGGATGTACAAACAGACTGGGGAATGAGATGCAAGAAAGCAGTGCCTGGAAAGGGACCTGGGGGTCCTGGTCAATGGCAAGTTGAACATGAGCCAGCAGAGCCCTGGCAGCCAGGAGGGCCAAGCCCGTCCAGGGGGCATCAGGCACAGCATGGCCAGCCGGGCAAGGGAGGGATTGTCCTGCTCTGCTCTGGGCTGGGGCAGCCTCACCTCCAGTGCTGGGGGCAGCTCTGGATGCTGCAATAAAAGGAAGACATTAAACTATTAGAGAATGTTCAAAGGCGGACAATAAAGATGGTGAAGAGCCTTGAGGAGAAGCCATATGAGGAGCAGCTGAGATAATTTGTTTTGTTCACCCTGGAGAAGGGGAGACTGAAGAGAAACCTCACTGCAATTACAACTTCCTCATGAGGGGAAGAGGAGGAGCAGGCACTGATCTCTGCTCTCTGGTGATCAGTGACAGGACTCGAGAGAATGGCCTGGAGTTGTGTCAGGAGAGGTTTTTGTTGGATATTAGAAAAAGGTTCTTCGCCCAGAGGGTGATTGGGCACTGGAACAGGCTCCCCAAGGAAGTGGTCAGAGCACTAAGCCTGACAGAGTTCAGGAAGTGTTTGGACAGAACTCTTGGGCACGTGGTGCAATTCTTGGGGGTAGTCCTGTTCAGGGCCAGGAATTGGACTTTGATGATCCTTGTAGGTCTCCAACTTAGGATGTTCTATAATTCTATGACAGCTGTATCTTGAGTCAGTTATCTTTATAGGGGAAAAAAAAAAAAAAAAAGAGAGACTATTCTTTCACCAGCATTTTTTAATGAAGAAAATTAAAACTTAAGTATTCGGTGAAATCATGGTATGTATCTGCTTGGGGCTTTTCTTTCATTTGTTCTTACATATTTATGCCTTGGGTTTTTTTAATGCAAATAGAAAATACGTATTAGAATCCCAAAAATACAGTTTGGAGATATGTAGAAAAAGTAGCACATGTATATGCCCCACATACATGTGTGTATGTATGCATGTCTATAGGTTCCTATATAGTGATTAAAGTAGGTTGAAATAGGATATGTGAAATACAAATACTTATTGTGGCTGTTTTTGTAGGAGATTAAGCACTTCTTGAATCTATTCAACTTATCAGCTACCTTAGAAAGGAAGAAGCTACTTTTAGTTGTATTATATCATGGGGAAAGTGAAGCAAGGGTTAAAATTTGCACTTATGTTCCCCACATACAAAAAAGAAGTAAAATGTTGCCAGATAAATGTGAAACACAAGCCTTCAAAGCTGATGCCTATTGAAGGAACATCTAAAAACTGTTATGGAAGTAAAAAAAAAATTGTTTCAATGCAAAAAACTGCCCAAACCAAAAGTTAATTCATTAAACATAAACTGTAACAAATCCATGAAGGTTAAAAGATCCATGGAGAAATATTCATTACAATATCTCCTCTCCAAAATGACTTTAATGCTGACTGCCAAGAGCTAAAATGGTGTGCTAGTAAAAGAATTTTTTTGCCAATTAAAAAAAAAAATCTTCTCTTAAGCATTTGAATTGGCTCTGGACAGAGAGGAGACATTAGTTAGCTGGAAGCTTAGTCTGATTTTGTGTTATCATTTTTGTGTTAGATCTACACATGCCTGTGTTTTCACCAGGAGAAACTCTGGTGTAATACAGACAGCCCTCAGAATTCTCAGTGCTACATTCTTCTCACGTCCTTCCTTTTTAGCTCCTTTGAATTTCTTTGCTGTTGTCTGTTCCACTCAATTTCATCCATCTGATTTTTGTTGCTTTCTATGCACATCCTTTCAAGACACATGAAAATCTGCTGCAGAAAGAGTACACCAGAGAAATCATTGTTGTTTGGATTATTTCTTTTCCCTGTTTTCTTGTTGATTTCACTTCAGGGACATGATATCAGGTGAAGGCAAATAGCTCAGTGTGTGAGAGTATCTACAGATACTCCTTCAGAGTAGAGAAGTATCCAGCAGTATTGTATCAGATTATATTGTATTGTAACCTTCAATAACTCAGCTTTTGGCTGATTTACAAAATGAGAAATGGAGGTATTACATGAAACTATCTTCTGCAGGTCTTGCAAACATGCATGCAACTCTACTTTATGTCACCAACATACAATGTCACCTTTTTCAACATGTCCATTGCCATTGGCCTTTGAGACCTTTGCAGTCAGAACATAAGAATAGGAACAGATCTGGCAGCAGTTTGTTCCTGTCCTCTTGGGTCAATTTGGGTGTTAATTGTTCTCTTGGAATGCATGGGAAGCAAATCACATTTGTTTATCTTTTCAGGGAAGAAAGGTAAATCTGCACCGTGGTCGGGGCTACACAGCTTCATTAGTATGGTTATTTGATGAAGGATGTGTTAGATGCATCCTATGCAGAAATGCATTTACTCTTTTAGACTTACAGTTTGTATATTTATTTTCCATGTCTGAAGTGAAGTAGATTGCTTCCCATGGGATAAATAAATTAACAATATACTGCAGGGATAAGGCTGGGATCTTTAGAGGCTTCTGGATTAAGTCTAGGCCAGAACTATGGTCACCAAAGTGTTTATAAAATGTACCTTAAGCATGAAAAAATAGCTAATATACTTATTAGTGTTTTGTCTGTATGTGAACTAGCACTAAAAGAGTTAAAGCCCTCTTTGCACCTATACTTTCTGGCAGAACAGCAGTAATGAATTCGGGAATCAGAAGTCCTAGTCTGTTTGGATCTCTTCTCACTTACGTTAGTCCCAAATCTAATCTTCCCAGGTTCTTTCCAATCAGTTTTCTTCATTTACTATTAATCATAACTCCTCAGCTGTTTCCTCCCAGACATTCCCAGTTCTCTCTCACCTCTGTTCCTCTGTTTTGTTTTCCTGTTCACTGTCATCCCTTCCAATTTCTTTATTCCTCTACCATTTCTCCTCATTTCTGTCTGCAGTTCTCATTCCAGCTGGTTCTCAACTTCCATTCTTGCTGTTAAAGTCAGAGTAAACTCTTCTGCCTATTTTGACTCCTCTACTAAAAATTTTCCCCACCTCATTTCTTTGTGAATCAGTCTCCCTTGATGTTTAGTCTCTTTACATCAGGTCTTTCAGTTTGACTTCTTTATCTTCTCTCTAATTACTTTTATCCATCATAACTCATTGATTTACAAGATATTTCTTTCTTGACCAGCTGTCCCCATTCTCTCTGGAAATTGACTCTACCTCCTCTTTCTACAGGTTCACTTACAAATTTCTACCTTAGTCTTGATTTCTTCCACTTCTTGTACAATAATAATGCAGAGGGCAGGTGTGATTCATGCCTCGCCTGCATTTGGAAAAGGGTGGCTGCATCCAGAAAAGATGGGAATCTTACTAAGAGACAGAAGAGAGTCTTGTGTTCTTTTTCATGTGTATGCCTGGCACAGTCCATTACAGCCTGAAGGCATTCAGTTTCATCCAGGGCATGGTCAGCATGGTTTAACACAGAGATATGACAAGTTCTGATTGAGGTAAAATAGCATTCACATCATGTACATCTGCAAATACTCTGCTTTTACCATAAAAGTGTATAATGATATGTTGTATTGTGTACAATGCATCCTTCTTTCTGGTTTAGGTTGGATATGGCATGAGCATTGTTTATGGAACATTGTGATATGATATCAAATATTTTTAATTGATTTTGCTGTAGAACCTGGTGTTTATAATGTTTGTGAAGAACCTTTTCTTCAACATGCTCCTTACAATAATTTCATAGTGCATCTCTTAACCTTATTTTTCATAATATTTATTCCTTTCTGGAAACTTCAGCTGGTTTTTTTTTTTCTCGTTGTTGAAGAGAAATTCAGTCATTTACTTCATTGGTGGAATTGATTAACTTTTTTTTTCCTGCAGTGAGCCTTGGAGGTTTTGGTCCTAAATGATTTCAAATTCTGTATTTTTCAAATAACATTTGTAGCTAGAAAAAAACAAACAAAAAAACCCCCCAAAACAAACCCAAAACCCAAACAAACACACAAACAAACACAAAAAAAGAAAAAAACTCATAGCATTGTTAGCTCTTATGGTTTATTGCTATATAGAGCATGTGTATATGCAAAATTGCCACTTAAGTTGTACCTAGTTCTTTATTTGTCTTTATTTAAAAGCTTCAGCTGTGTAAAGGAGTGGAAGGAAAAATTAGCAATATACTTAAATATGCATTTTTATTTTTAAGAAGTATGAGAGAGAAAATGTTCTAAAAAACTTTCAAGGAATAAGAATGCCAACTAAAAGTATTCAATCTTTTTTACTATCCAAAGCTGATTAATAAGAACAAATTAGATTAACAATCTATTTATTGTATTTTCCACCTGTTCTTACACACCAGGAAGAAGATGGGGCTCCTTTTACTTCTAATAATTTGCCAGTGTGCTGTAAACAGTGTCAAAACACACAGTGTTTCGAAGCCCAATATAATTTTACTGATGGCTGATGATCTTGGTATTGGAGACCTGGGATGTTATGGGAACAGAACCTTAAGGTAGGATGATAATTTGGTGGAGTCATAGCTTTACATTTAGTTTTCAATGGATTTTAAAAATTAAAATGCCAGAATATTCAGAGGGTTGATTAAGTTTTTTATGAGTAACCGAAGTTAATAAGTTTTCCAAAGATTTGAATATTCAATCCTTATTTTCTTTTTTTGAACAAAGACTTAGCTAACACATTTATCCTTCTAAAAAGTTGCATTATAAACAGAGGACTGAACAACCAAGCAAATAAGGGTAGCCCTAGAGAAATAAAGTAAAATCAACAATTTTCTTCTAGAATATACATGACACAAGTACTATGAATTAAACATATTTTGAAGCACTCATGATTTGGGACAAGCTTGTTGTTAACTAATTGGAAATAAAGAGCTGATATTTGCCCTTCATTTATCTTCATACAGTAGTCAATATATTAATTAAAACAAATGTTAATATACTTGAATGATGCATCAGTGTGCCCCAGGATGTTTCTTGCTACCAGCGTAGATGTGATGGTTATGTAAACAGAGCAAGTGATATCTAGACATTGTGTTCCAGTGGTGCAGTTTTTGGCAAAGTTAAATAAAACATTCAGACAAAAGCACTGTTCTGTGGAATTTTAAATATTCTTGTTCCTGTTGATGTTAGAAGTAAAATCTTCTCATAACTCAGAAAAAAAATAAAATTCAAGTTACATCTTGGTTTTAAACAGGGGAAAATATATACAATACTGATGCTTGTATTACTCCCCTCACAGGCACCAGAACGACCCCAAGATCTATATTCTGTGCTGGGAGAATTTGGAATTAGATTTTTGGAATATGATGAATTTTCATCTTACTGATTTTTATCAGTAGGTGACTTTACAGATAGAAAATAATTCCGTTTGAAAATTAGTGTTTCTGATTATTCAGTCTTAGATGATGGGAGCACTAGTGTGCCTTGAGGTCATGGTCATTAATCTCCAGGGTCAGAGAGCTATTAGAGCATGCTGCAGCTGCTGGCCAGTCTGCATTAGTAATTTTTATCTGTAGAACCAAGGACACAGGATTTCTTCCTGAGGAACCAATTTTAATCTGCATGATGAGCCAGGTCACAGACAAGTTTCCCATACAGATATGGAAGCTAGGTTGTGCCCCGAGTCTAATATAGCAGACATAATCATGTCAGACATGTAGATATTGTTAATATAAAGCATAACACAGAGTCATAATAATTTGAATCTCTTCTAATAGGTTATAGCACAGCATGACATTATCCCTACCCCAAAAACCTTTTTCTGGGGAGAGACAGAAGAGACACCTAGTAGGGAGCAAGGAAGCACAGCCTTTCTCTAGTCTCTCTTGCCCTCGTTACTGAAACATAAAGGTTGTAAAATTACAGGTCTGGTCAAGGAAAACATTAAAAAGGGTTGCAATATTAATGTCTAGATGTTGCAGTTTAACACTGGCCATGAAGAACAGAAGAAAGTGGGGAAAAAGATTTTCACTGCAATATTATAGTGTCTCTGTTCAGACACCTAATATAAAAATGTTTGACATGATAATATTTGGAACTGCAACCTTGCTACACTTTTGATAATTTATATATAATAAATTTAAACTGGATTTTCCTGATAGTTCTTGCCTCAGATGCCTTGTGCATACCATGCCTGTATCCAAATAGTCATCTTTGTGTATATTTTTTCACCTACTTTTGTTTTTCCAGAACCCCTAATATTGACAGGCTAGCAGAGGAAGGAGTGACACTTACTCAGCATATAGCAGCATCCCCACTTTGTACGCCAAGCAGGGCAGCTTTCCTGACAGGGAGATATCCTATAAGATCAGGTAAAATCTCATCAATTTATTTATATATAAATATAATATTTTATTTACAGTAAATTGTATGCAGTTTTTTTGTCTGGCCTTTTTTGATTTGTTTATCCTTACCAGGTTAAATAATGGTAAATTATCAGTCCTTTCAGTGACTGATCAAGTTCAGCGGAGTTGGTCTACATTTGGAATATTTCTTACATATGGGAATTTTCACATTTCAGAAGAGTTGACACAAAGATAAAGTTTTTTTAGTGATTAATTCTTTTTCTATTTAAATATTGACAAAGCAGTCTGACTATGGTTATTTAATGCCAGCCATGTCCTGGACTGCATCAGGCACATCGCCGGCCAGGCAGGGGAGGGGATTGTCCCAAACTGCTCTGTGCTAGGGTGGCCTCTCACCTCAAGTGCTGTCTGCACCAAACCTGACAGAGTTCAATAAGTGTTTGGACAATACTCTGGGGCACAGGGCAGTGACTCATGGGGATGTCCTGTGCAGGGCTGGATGTTGAATTCAGTGATGCCTGTAGGCCCCTTCCAACTAAGCATATCTTGTGATTCTCTGTGATTCTGTGAAATTCCTCCACTATTCAGTGCAGGCTCTTCGCCTGCCTCCACAGTTGCATTCAGGCTGCTCCCACTGTGTTGGTGGGCAGCCCAAATATTGAATGCCACAAAGATGCGTCTAGAATGACTCAGTGGAAGAACCCAATGTAAACACTTATTCTCAGACATTTCTATTTCTGCTAAACCTTTTTTGTTTAGACAAAATGTTGGATTTGTGTCTTGTTTTTTTTTTTTTTTTTTTTTTTTTTTTTTTTTTTTTTTTTTTTTTTTTTTGTTTTTGTTTTTTTTTTTGTTTTTTTTTTTTTGGTAGGGGAGAGGTAGGGGCAGGACAGTTCATTAAGGTACTCAAGTTGCCCTTAAAACTGGGAAGAAAGCAAAAAATCTCTCATCTATTTGAAATGTTATTTTTGTTCCGTATCTACCCATACACATAGAGCATTAAGTATCCTGTGAATTTAATTTCTTTTACTTTTAAAGTACCTGATCCAAAGCCTATTTGAGTCAATGAAGATCTAGTCTGTTTATTTTAGTGTGCTGGGACTGAGCCTCTCAGTGCTTAGCCATGCAACTTTAACATTCCCTTAACATCATTTTTAGCAAGGATCATTATACATTAATCAGATCACTTGTTCATTAGTGATAAAACATCCTGTCCTTGCTTCTGGGAATGAAAGCAAAGCAAGACTCTGGAGCCTACTTGATACGTTCATGCTCACTCAAATCAAGTAACAAGCTTCTGCAAAAGTGCCAGCTAATATAACTTGCTAAATTTTCCATTACATCCATCTGCAAAGGAAAAATTTATATACCTGTTACAGATATATTGCTATTAATATTTACTGTAGGTAAAGTCATGGGTCACTTTCCATTATGTTCCCTGTTCTTATTTCTGAAAAATTAGCTCTTGAACTAATTTTTTTCTTCACTGATCAGCTCTCAGACATACTTAATCATTTCCATGTAGGTACAAAAATTGAACTTTGTCTTACTTAAGTTACAAAATTTCTAAATATAGACTTCTTCCAAATATCACTGAAGAACTAGTAAAGGTTTATTACAGAAGACACTAGAATCATCATGCGGACAAAATGTTGGAAATATAAAACTCCTGCTAATAGACCTGAAGAAAAAGATTCCAAAATGCAGTATTGGATGAGATACGTGCTCAGAGAAAGATAACGATGAAAAAAGAGAACGGATGCTTCTATACTTTCATTCTGATAACTTAGGGGAGTTACACTGATTTCAGTTACAAGATCTTAAAATATGTAAAAATAAATATAAGTAAATAAAATAGATATATGACTAAAGCTATATGAAGCATTGATCAGAAAAATTATTTGGCATAAAAAACTGAAGTCAGCATTTGAAGGGTAGGTTGAGCTCTCTTTAATAAACCAGTCTAACGAGACTTTTTCTCATGTAACCACAAGGGATACCTGGGGGAGGATTCTGGTTGTCTACATCAGTCATGTAACTTGGGAACTGTAATCATCCAGTTGCATAATTTAGACTTCCTGAAGATACATCTGCACAGATTTGCATAGATATTCTCTGTTCTTACTGTCTATTTTCAGTGCCAGCTCTCATCTGGAGTCCTAGTAATCTAATTTTCATGAACCTGAGCTCTCAAGTTTCTCATCCTGAGAGCAGTTTATAAGCTCATTTGTGTTTCTCAGACTCTTAGTGTATAGAAATGCCTTATTTAGATGTTGTCTTGTTAGCCGGTACCTGATGCTCCTTTAGTGCTCTCAATCTGCATGCATTGGATGATGTGTCTTCAAGCCACTGGAGCACCTCATCAATGCTGACAGCTCAAGCCACTCTATTTGCAGGATCAAATTCTCTCTTGCTCTTTCTGACCTCATGACATTTACATGCCCAGCAGTAAGACCGCCCTATTTCAGTATGCGTTCTCTCAAAAAAACCTTAAAGGCTTGTAGAAAATCACATATGAAGATGGGAAATTCTCAAAGTAGAACTTGAGAATGATCTCACATAGTCCTCATCTTCCTTCCCTCTCTATGTACTAGAAAAATAAATTATACAAGCTCAACTTCTTAAAATTTTGCTACACCTTAGAAAATCTACAGAAGGGCCTGCAGCCGTTTATGGGATGGCTGGCCCCATGGTTACAAGCTCAGAAATTTTTTCTCCACGTCTCAGTTTCTGATGTCAATAGAGAAAGGACCTCACTCCACTAAATGAACGATTGTATCTTCCAGTTGCAGCACTTAGTGTCTGATTGTAATATGTTATTTAAGTGATACGACCTAAGGCAAAAAAGTGCATGCAGAACTAGTGAATGGAAATTCTTTCTTTGTGTTTTCCTGGTCTCATTCATTTTTATTGTATTTAGGAATGGCTGCCTTCTCACGAGTTGGTGTCTTCTTATTTTCTGCTTCTTCTGGGGGACTTCCTTCTGAAGAAATAACTTTTTCCAAACTTCTGAAGCAGAAAGGTTATGCAACAGCTCTAATAGGTAAAATTGCAGATATGCGCAGCACTGTTTTCCTTCATTTCAGTGAAAAGAACATTAGCTTCCCGTACAGGCTTTTAAGGGCCTGCATTAAGCTTTTCTCCCCCACAGAATAATGAATTTATTTTTCTGGAACAAAGCACATTCCCATGCCTATGTGAAACACTAGTCAGGTAAGTACATCTAATTCACTTGTGTAGTTATAGTCTCATTTTGCAAGATACTGAAGAAACATGATAGACAAACTGAAAATTAGTCAAGCTTTTGAAAAGTTTTCCGTATAAATAGGAGTTTGATTACACCTGAGAGACAATGAGGGATTGATCACTGGGTACAAGTCAGCACTGCGGTTATTTTCATTTCGCCGGTGTTCAAATTCCCATAAAGTAAATAACATTGTACCTGGGCTACCATCTTTGTCATCAGACAGAAATGAGCATTTCTAGGAAATTCTTCATATTTGGTAGATATTTAATATAAAAATGTATTTCTTTCTCATTACAAAGATAGTTCAGACAACTGATTGCAGCATAAATATCCAGTGATGGGCAAAAGGAATCATATAGATTAACATTAAATAGAATTGAAATTAATATCATAAAAGTTAATATGATAACATTAAGAATGTCTGAACTTTTTTTCTTAATTTGGCCACTGAACTTATTCCACATTGCTTTTATTTTTGAAGATTCTTGCGAAGTTCAACTTCTATTACATAATGTGTTTCTGTACTGGAATTTCCAGGGAATAGTTGTACTGGGATATTGCTAAATTAATTTAGATGAAGGATGCATGCAATTTGTTTTTTAAATGAAACAGAAACTTACAATTTTGAGAGTAATTTTTGTTTAAAAAAACACGCTGTTTAGCAAGGTTAACAATTCATGCCACTGTTCAAAAAATGTCTGTCTTATGTAGATATACCAGAGTCAGTGTTCTCACTAAAAATCTTCCTTAGCTATACTCCAGTCTTATAAAGCATAAAATACCATGATTTCCTAAAAGAATGAAAATAGAAAACCAGAAATTCTAATCAGAAGTTTATTTAGTGTAGGTGTATTAGAAAAATTGTACAAGAAAGCTGTTCATAATTTGTCATGTTCCTTATGGACTTAATTCCTATTTCTCCATATTCAATTTTTTTTTTCTATTTGTAACAAGCAATGTAATACAACTCATTTTCTGGGGCTGACCTAGTTACTGTTCTTTTTTTAACTACTTTTGCTGCAACATGACAGCTTGCCACTTAGATCTCCAGAAGTTATCTCCATGATGCTTAATGAACAGTTCTTCCAAGTGGCCTGAATGATAGCTATGAGACCATAAAATGTAATATTACCATATCCTTAGAGTATAATGAAGGTTTCCGAAAATCAAGAAGTGCATTAAAATTAGGGATAAAGCATATGTAAATGACAGAAAGAAAAATTATGTAGATTTGAAGATTAGATAGGCAGTCTGATTCACAACCAGTCCATTTTCTGCTTTTGCTGGTATTCTTGTCACATCATATTGGTCTAAGTCAGGGAGTCTTTGCTTGGTTCAGTCTAACTCAGCAATTCCCAAGCAATTAATATTCAAATCCTGCACCAGTGATGGAGTGGCATAAGGGTAATTTTAAAGCTTTCTGTTCCTCAAGCCCCTAGTGTCATTTCTATTTTTTCTGCCAATCTCTTCTCTAAGGATAATTTTTTTTTTCTTCCCTAGGTGCATTTTTGTTTATTTTTTTAAAATTTTTTCGCCTCTGAATATATGCTTCCTTTTGTTTGATATGTTCCAAAATAGATTTTAACTATAAATCTACTTTATATATGCAGTTTTCTACCTTATTGTTTTCTCATTTGATATGAAGAAGGTGACAACCAATAGATCTGTCAGGAGAGCACACAATCAGATCTGCGACAAAACCAAGTTCTATCAAAAAAAAAGCAGATGCATAGAATACATAATATTCATAATATGCTGATATTCTCTTGGAAATAGCTATTCATAATGCTCCTAGCTATTCAAAAATTAACCTTAAATTTGATAGATAGTATTTTAACTACTGCTATACTCAATTACAGTTGAGTAAAGGTTGATTTTTCCTCACTATTACTATCCAGTGTATTGTCCAGTATCCAGAGAAGTTTGAAATCTAAATCCAATCTCCAAAGCTAAAATACTAATTGATTACTGAAAGTTATGTCTTCCAGAATGAAGTATTGTAATGTTTGGACACATCACAGTAGTAAGTGTCCAATTCAAGATTGACTGACCTATGGAATAGAGTTAGTACAACAGTTATTCATAAAATAGCTTAAAATCTGTCTGTGTTAATACCATATGCACACACACTTTTTATAATTTTTGCTGTGTACTTCAAATAAGTATATTTCCTTAAAAACATAAAATATTTCTGTTTGCGTCTTGCTCCACATCTTGTACCTTGACATTTATCTGAAAAACATAAAATCTTTCCAAAACAAATATATTATTATATAAAAATCAGTCTTTGTGTTGCTCCCTTTTTCACTGTCTGAGGGAAAAATACAGGGGAAATGTGGATTCTGCATTCTGAAAAATAGATTTTCAAATCAAGTTTCTTGGCTGAATGGGACTTGTCTCTCACTCTCACTTGCCTTTCATTGCATTGCTTTCACTCTGCAGAAATCTTAATTGTGGCTGATGGAGAGGGAAAAAAGCCTAGGTCTCAAATTATTATGGTACTCCTAATTTACAATTAACAGCGTAAATTTCACTCAAAAGCTTGGTAGAATCTGCTGAAATGCTTATGATGCTTGTGTGAAGTGTCCATTCTATGAAGCATCACTTGGCATAGAGATGAGAGCATTTTGCATTGCACTCAGATTCAGAAGGGCCCCAGAATCTAAAGCACATTACAGTAATCTGTTCAAGCACTAGCTCAAGGCAGGGGTTATTGTCACAAGGATTGAAACAAAACATGTATTGTGGACCCAGTCATCACTTGCTTTTTTAGAGTAGTGCAGGATCTATCAAAACCTTCTACCTCCCCATCCATTTGAGAGTGGCAATTGTGTCATTCTGTCACACCTGCCGATATAATTTTAACTGGGACTTCTGTTGCTTTTCCTGCTAATCTGATCTCTGCTTTGTTTGGCTTAAGTTGCTTCTCAAGAAATCTTTTTCTGAGGCCCAAGTTCGTCCTGACATTGAACAATTTGTTGTGCTTGCTAAAGTCCTTTCAATAAAAATAGGACCTATATTTCCCCCTGTCCTAATTTGTTATTGCAAGATTTTTCTATCCTGGATTGTAGTTGAGATCCAGCTAAAAAAACATTCCGTATCATAATAAGTGACCCTGAAGGAATACTTAATTTGTCTGAGTTTCTTTTTTTGTATTTTCTTACTGAATTATAGGTGCTTTGAGATTAACATATAATAGCAAAAAAATTAAAATTAAAGCCTGCAGATCATTTGTGTTCATGATTATAAGTCTCTACCTTTAAATCACTTATTTCATTTGATGACAGTTTTTTCATGCTCACTTTGTTACACATCTGGCTTTATGATTATTCCATTAAGACACTCCTCCAAACCTAAGAGAAAACTTGAAGCATTTATTTTCAAAAATCTGCATCTTTGGGTGCTGAGAATGAAAATCAGAGTTCCAGCCTTACCTAGCCCTTTATAGCACCATTATAACTTCTAAAATTACAGTACAATGGTGTGTACTGCTTGTTTTTTTAATTTATCACAATAATTTTCACTGGAACATGTCAAAAATAGTGACCACAACCATTCTGTTCACAAAAAGCAGAATACCACCTCAGGTTAGGGGCCATCTGACAGGGAAAATTTAGGATGGAAGGAGAAAGGTATAGAGGCCTTCATTTCACTGGCACCTAAGCAGACCTGAAAATGTTTTATATTTGTTTTGATGATCTACAGAAGTTATTTTAAACTTCAGCCCATCAAGAGTTTTATAAGGATAACTGGACTCAACTAAGTATTCAGATTCAAGATTTCTGCTTTTTCTCCACCTTAGCTGACAGGTAGACTTAGGCATATTACATTCTCATTCTATACCTCAGTTCTTTTATTTGTGGAAGAGAAATAAGAACACCCAGCTAATTTGCTAAATTTTAAAAAAGCAGAACTGATCCCCATGTTCACCCTCTTTGGTATTGCAGTACCTGAATTTGTCACAGCTGAAGGAAAAAGTGCAGAATGAATATACTGTTCTGGAGACTCAGGAGGAGATGTTCAGGACTGTTTGCATCAGGACTCTTACGAATATGTAAAAGCTGGGATGCTTTGGAAAAGATGAAAATTCTGTATATGCTTTTTTTTTTCTGTTTTGCATTTACTGCCATGTGTGCTCTGAAGTCTCTAAAACAAATATTTCAAATTTCTTTGGGCTAAGTTATGGGACTGAAGACATACCAGGTTTGCAGATTTTCTTGTTTATTTCTTTTACGATCTCAACTCCTAAATTATGCTGGTCATGTTTAGGTGTTTGATTCGGAAAAATGAATAAAGTTTGGCCCAGTAGTATATAATGTCATCTGTTTTGTCAAGACCAGCATGCTTTTTTTAAATATTCAGCACATTTTCTTGCTGAGAGCAAAGAGCATAGTTCTATCCATAATCTATCTCTATAAGCTTAACTGAATTTTACTTATTTTTATAATTATGCATTTTGATTCAAATAACAGCTACCCATTAGGTCTGTTGTGCAAAGCAATGCATAAGCATATGGTAAGAGGTTGTACTTGAGTCATAGAATGAATTATCTAGATACTTACCATAATCAGCATGAATATAGATCACATTAGTATAATGCAAATCAGGCTCCGTGGTTTCTTGTGTCAGTGTCCAACATTATTACAGAATTAGAGTGATTTCCTAGTGGGACAAAATGCTGTAAGAGATAGTATTTGACTGCAATTTACTTGCTGCTGTTGCTTTTTATTTGTATACATGAAATATATAAATATAAAATAATCAGCCTCTATATATGTGCATTTTGAGGGCTATTGGCAATTTCAGAGATTTTGCAATAATTTAAGTAATATATGCTTTAATAATTTCCCTATTATTGATTTTTTTTCTATTTGTTACTGTTTTTTCTTCCTCTTTTGTCTTTTTTTTTTAAACAAATCAAATTATTTGCTAAAAATATTTTGGAAAAGTAATTCCATATGGCTTCTTCCTCTTCAATCAGTAGATGCTACAAAATAGTATTTTCATATGACAACTACACATGCACAAAGGCTTAATTTCCAAAGTTAACTGTCTGTTAGGGCTCTGTTGCTCTTCAGTGATCTGCTAGCCAACTCAAAATTTAATGCTCTTCAGCAGCAGCCATGCCAAACTATTTTTAACCGAGATGAAGAGGCAAACATGAAAAAAAATCTTTGATGAGGGCATAAAGAAAGTTTAAATAGAAAATAGGGATCCACACAATAAGTGCTGGGAGCAGGGGGATATCATTCAGACAGTGATGATTACGTGCTTGAAATAATGCACATTAAAAGTAAGTTTGATGATTTAACTACAAAAATACTCCCTGTCCTTCTCTCTTTGTAGGAAAGTGGCATCTTGGGATGAACTGTGAAAGCAGTAATGACTTCTGTCACCACCCCCTCAGTCATGGATTTGATTACTTTTATGGCCTTCCTGTGACCAATCTTAGAGACTGCAAGCCTGGCCAAGGCAGCGTATTTTTAAAAGGGGTTCAGAAAGGCCTTGTCATCCCAATCCAAATCACTGGAATCGCCCTTGTGTCTTTGGCAATAGTGCAGTACATTGGCCTTCTCAAAGTACCTTTCCAAGCATTGAGTTACTTCTTGTTAATAATCACAATTTCACTTGTGGTTTTGATTTTTTTCTTCTATAATTTTCGACACCTAAACTGCTTTTTAATGAGGGACCATCAGATTATACAGCAGCCACTGTCCTATGAGAATCTTACTCAGAGGCTGACAAAAGAAGCCAAGCAGTTTATTGAAAGGTAGGTTTCTAACTGTGTTGTAAGTTAATGTTGGCATTTCATAATGGCAGTGTTTCTGAAAATTATAAAAAAATGTGGGCATAAGGAATATGTCATTATATACGATCATAATTTTTTCCTTTAAAAAATGACTGAAGTTAATCTTTTTGGTAGAAGTGACTCTTGGGTTTTCTCCTCTCAGGTATGTAATTAATTTCTCTATAAAAAGGGAAATATTTAACTCTTAAGAATTTCATGTAACTTGAAATATGAAAAATCTTTTGTGGTGTGACTTAATTCTGTGAAAGCACAATGCAGAGTCATAATCTCTATGACTTTTCTGGAATGGGGAGCTGTTCTTCATCACGGAGTTGATGCATCCATTAAAAGGAATTCCTGTGGCAATTTTTAAAAAAAATACTGGCATTTTAGATTACTCCACTTTTATGACAGTAATTTTGAAAAGATTTAATTTTTAGAAATCAGGGTGTTAGCTTCTGCACCTGGGACAGAATAAGCCCGGCACCAGGACAGGCTGGGAGTGATTTTCTGGAAAGCAGCTCTGCAGAGAAGGACCGTGGGTGCTGGTGGACAAGTTGTCCATGAGCCAGCAGTGTATCCTTGTGACCAGGAAGGCCAGTGGGATCCTGGGGAGCATTAGGGAGAGCATTGCCAGCAGGTCAAGGGAGGTGATCCTGCCCCTCTGCTCAGCCTGGTGAGGCCACATGGAGAGCTGTGTCCAGCTCTGGTATTCTGAGGACAAGAGAGACATGGAGCTCCTTGAGCAGGTCCAGCAGAGGACAATAAAGTTGATTAAGGAGCTGGAGCATCTCTCTTACGAGGAGAGGCTGAGGTCGCTGGGCCTGTTCAGCCTCAAGAAGAGACGGCTGAGAGAGAACCTCATCAATGTACATCAGGATCTGCAGGGAGGGTGTCAAGAGGATGGAGCCAGGCTCTGCTTGGTAATGCCAAGCAATAGCACAAGAGACAATGGGCAGAAAGTGATGCACAGGAAGTTCCACTTGAATATGAGGAAGAACTTTTTTTACTGTGCAGGTGACAATGCCCTGGAACAGTTAACCAGAGGTGTTTTGGAGTCTTCCTTGCTGGAGATGTTTAAGAACTGTCTGGACATAATCCTGTGCCATGTGCTCTGGGATGACTTTGAGAGAGGTTGGACCAGATTATCCCACTGTTGTCCCTTCCAACTTTACTCATTATGTATTTTATGATTCTGTGAAACAATTAGGTGTTTTGAAAACAATGTTTTTAATAGCCATCATATTGGGCCACCTAAACATTGGGTTTGCAAAAGCATTCTAAGTCATGGTTCCTTTTTGCTAAATCAGTTACTTTGCTGCAATTGTCACCAAAGGGCTATTAATGGGATTAAGTCAAAAAAGTATACATTTGTATATTCTAAAATAGAGATCGATGTATTTGGAGAAAAACATATTTAATCAGTTTAACTTCTGGAACAAAATATGTGTATGTATTTTTCTCCACCACTTTCAACACAATTTGCAGCATTTTTAAAAATACTAAATCAAGGTAAAATCATATTCTAAGATATAGAATTACTATTATTCTGAATGTCTATTCCACATCCCTGAATTACTATTCTTTAAAGTACATATCATTATTTTCTGTGAATACATGCATATGGTGTCATTGCTGATGGAAACATGTACCAAGAATCTGCAGCTAAATTTTCTAGACTTAATGACTGTGCAGAGCAGCTGCTTCTAGCTGTTAGCAAAAAAAAAAAAAAAAAAAGTTTATCTAAAAATCTTGATCTCATACTGCAATTTTTTATCATTTCTATCCTTATGAATATTTGATGTGGCCCTTACTACACATTATACTGAAAAAATGTTTTTTATAACTAATTTATTTAAATGAGTAAGTGTTCCCCACAATCAACATTCTCATAAGTATTTATACATTAACTAAACCATCTTTATTTCCTCTTGGCAATGGGGATAGATATGAAGATGCCTTCTCAGATATATTGTAACTAATTTAACAGTGAAGTACTTTGTTATTACAAATGCAGGAACAAACACATTTGAAAATTGTTGAGAGATTACTTGCTTAGTGACCGAGTATTTGGAGATTTCAAGAGACTCTCAAGTACATTAACTGTATGCTGGTATATTCTTCCATTATTTACAAGAATATAAAGAGCCTGTTGTGATACTGTTTTAGGTATCTATGAATGTTTCACTGATTTCAATGCCATGACAACGAAATGATTGCCTCAAAATAAGTGAGTTCAAGATGAAAATCAATGGTAGAAAACTACTAATTCTTTTAACTGCATTAATATATTTAATGTGCAGTGTTACCATGTAGATTAGTGTTGTTGTTTGACCTCAGTGTTTAGATCTGGAAAAATAATGTATCATCTAAGTCAGCATAGCTTTGTTGACCTAGCTGAAGGTAAGTGGCTTTACATCATTTAGGCACTTGGCCCCAAATGTCAGTGTAGTTTTCAGACAACAGTGATGTTAAATTGAAGTCAAGGTTAATAGCACATATTCATAATTTACAAAAAACTTTGTTAATAGGAGTGCTGCAATTACAGTGAGAATTATAACCTAGACTCTTCATAGTCAATGTTATATTAGAGAATATCCAGACATGCTAAAGTATTAAGAAGCAATTAGGGCATTTGAGCAATCTTAACTGTGCCCTTTAATGAATCCACATGCAAAGTATATGACCATAAACCTTACTCCTGGGGATATGAGTAATTAGATTAATACATGGGGCAGATCAGTTCAGTGAATATTAGTGTGAGCAACAAAATCAATATTTGCTTTGACACACTAGTTTTGACATGATAGAGTTCATACCCATTAACTTCAGAGCACCTATAGACCATTGCTTTTATGACTAAACCACTGACTTTGGCCATTTGCAAGTGAATGGCCACCAAGAGGCAACCAGGTTGGAGAAGTGGAGGGCCACAAGGTTTTTGGAAGGCACAGTGCCTGACAGCATTCTTGTCATACCAGTTCTTTCAGCCCTTTAGCCACACGTTTGAACACTGTATTTGTCGCAGTCTCCTTTTCTTTATCTGATACATTAAGTAGCAAACTCAGTCATATACACTGTTAATCCTTGTGCACAATTATACCAGAGCACAAACAATCCTGAAGTTAAAGAATTCAAGCTTTCACCTTCTGAATACACATTTCATCATCAAAATAAAAATCATCAGATATCACGTATCTTTTAATTGGTTAAATATCTTTACAATATATATATGAATATATATTAATTTTCTCATGTTTTATCTGTGTAAGTTTACTTACCTAATGCTTTTATTACCTCTATAAGTTCTTCAGAGTTCAAGTGATGGACTTCCAGACATTCTCTTTTCTGGCTGTTTCTCAGTAATTTTCAGTTTTGTCACTTCTTACCATGTATAAACATCAAATTCTTCAGAAGGAATAGGCAAAGAAGGAGAGGTGGTGGGGTAGACCTTTATGTTAAGGAGTATTTTGATTATCCAGAGCTTACTGATGGTAGTGATAAGTTTGTGTGTTTATAGGTAAGGATCAGGGGATAGGCCAACAAGGTAGACACCATGGTGGGACTATGTTATGGACCACCCAGACAGGTTGAAGAGAAAGACAAAATATTATATAAGCAGCTGGGAGAAGTCTCGCAATTCCTGGCCTTTGTTCATGAGGGGGACTTCAGTTTATGAGAGCTGAAATGCAGTGCAGTGAACAGGAAACTGTGTAAGTGGTTCTTGGAGTGAATGGAAGACAACTTCCTGACATAGCTGGTGAGCAAACAAACCTGGGGAGGGGCTCTGCTGGACCTGCTCTGTGTGAACAGAGAAAGACTGGTGGGTGCTGTGGTGGATGGAGGCTCTTTGGGCACAGAGATCACAAAATAGTAGAGGTTTTGATTCCTAGGAAAATAAGGAGAGGGGTCTTCAGAACTACTACCTCAAACTGCTGGATATCTGACTTTGGCTTGTGATTCTATATAATCATTAGAATTTTTATTTTTAAAGTCTTATATTGTCTTCATAGTGAATAGCTATGTGCTGTTGTATACTTACTTTGGTCTGGTTTTTGGAGAGGAGGTATTGTATTTTATCTTCCTTAGTCCAGTGCATATTACAATTTTTGTTCATTCCTTAATAGACTGAAAGAGAGCAAATACAAAACTCAATGCCCAAAAATGGCACTGGAGAAGAATGTGTGCAATTACAAGTGTCAGATCTGGTGTGTGAGAACAGGTATTATTTAGTTGCTCACTCTAATTGTAAGTGGGCAGGTCAGCTCTGTGTATGTTAATTCTAATTGTTTTTACCTGAGAGGAAGTGTGTTTACATGTCTTAAACTATCAGAATGCTCTCTTGATACTACAATGTATTTGAAAGTCAAATGGATGATAATTATTTTATGTTAAATTCAATGTAGTTGTCATTCATACCTCTTCAGCATGCCCTTCAATGACCAGCTGCACAGAAAATCCAATTTTGCAAAATGCCAGAGTCCAGTTTCTAGCATATCAGAAACTGACAACATAAAAAATACCACTGTGTGGTACAGAATACTTCTCTGAGAAACTTCCATACCTGATCACAAGTAATAATAATATTTTTTAAAAGTCTAATGAAATCTAGTTTCTGGAAAACAGTATTTAAATACAAATATGATTATATTTAAAAGCTGTGGTGAAGGTGAATTTGAAGAATTTTCTTGCCTAGTTTTACCAGTCATAGACTGCATAAGCATAATTTTCAAAATTTTATGATAACAGTTAATAATTGTAAATTTTCTTTTTATCTATTCTATTTTAGTCCTTGAAACACTGTTGCAAGGACTAGATTGCACTGTTGCAACATATTAAATTTTTTTGTTATCTGCTCTAGGAGACTGTGGTTTAGAGTTTTTCCATATATCACCAGGTCTTAAGATCTAACAGTTGTCATGTTGTACTGAAGTTACAGTTCTCAAATCAAGTGTTTTTATGAATACTAGAAGAATGTTCCTTATAGTTTACAGGAAAATAAAAATTACAGAGAAGAGTTTGTGTATTTC